TGTGTAAATCTTTTTTCTTTATGTTCTCTTTTTTTTGTTCTTTTCAATTAATTTTATTTATTTATTTTTTTTTTTTTTATTTATTTTTACGCAGGACGGGGTTTATTTTTCTTACATTCTCATCGGTTTGTGTTTGTTGTTGTTGTTGTATTATTTTTTTCATCTATTTTTTTTTTTCTTTTTGCTTTGCTAAGTTTACATAAATATTATATATATATATATATGTATATATCATCTTTTATATATATATATATATAAGTTTTGTTCTTGTTGTTTTTGTGATTTATTTTCTCAGATACTTTAAAAACAAACTGAATAAATGTTTGAAATGTTTAAGCATTTTTCTTCTTTTTATTTATTTTTTTGTTTTTTCTTGTGACTAGTTGAAGTTTTGTAGATTTTTGTTTTTTTTTTTTTTGTTGCTGTTTTTTTTTTTCGAGTATAGAGTGAGTCAAAAGAAATGTCGAAAAAAGGAAAATTCATATTTTAGATGAGGCCAGAATTGAAATATTCAATCGAATGTCGGATATCTTCTCAAGTTTGAGAAATTTTTGAAATTTAATCTTAATTAGAAATTATTAATTAATATTTTTTTGGAAAGAAGAAGAGAGTTTCTTCTAGTTGGAATTTAAAAATTGCAAAGACCTAAGCGCCTCCGGGGCAAATCTGTTCCACAATATTTACTCATTTACATTATCACTATTGGATTGAAGCTAAAGAATTTCGATAAAATCCAAATCATTTAAAATTGAAATTGAAATTTGTCTCTGACCTCTGCTTTAAATTATGTCGAATTCATATTTTATTTACTTTTTTTTTTTTTTTATTTCTTTATTTATTTATTTATTTATTTATTTATTTTTTTTTTTGTTATCTATTTAATCCATGTTGTATTCCTTATACAGTTATTTTCTTTGATTACATTCGTTCATTTTCTATTCCGCCTTTTCGATTCCCAATAAAGATAGTTTCAAAATGGGACGAGAAAAAATAAAAAGAAAATATGAATTATCTGACTATGGCCGATAGATAAGGATTGTATCGATATCGATATCAGATTATATCAGATCATATCTTGTACTAAGTTTGTTTTAATACATTTCTTCTTCTACTTTACGAGCAATTGTTTGAAATTTTTTTTCATAGAAACTCATATACGCCAGCGTTAGTGTTAGCGTATTTGAAAAGCAGCATATATATGTAAGTTGATCTTTTAATTATTTCGAAAAATTTTAATCTCCATATCGATCAGATGAAGTCACTTTTAATTATAATTTCGATTATAAAATCATTCAACTGAGGAATGTACAATCATGGTATAGTCATAACTTCAGTGATAGTACATCTAATCATGGATCATTGCTTGGCAAGCGATTTTGTATTTCGTAGTAACCAGCGAATCTAACGAAAAATTAATATCTTATTTTCAATTATAACATTCCGAATGGATGAATACGATTAAAAGAGAAGCAATTATATTGAGTTGTTTTTAAATGAAAATCATTGAAATGGACACGGTTTGACATTCGTCAATCAGTTAAGGTATTTGATTATCAGATCGAATCATTAATGGCAATATTACCTTTAAGATAATATATATATATATATATATATTATTATCATTATCATTTTCTTCATTTTTCCTTTCTTTTTTAATTAATATTTTCTTGGTTTTTTTTTATTTTTTTTTTTTTTAAAAAATTGAAATTAAATATATGCAAAATAAATTAATTAAGGAGTATTTCTTCTGGCAATTGAATAGTTTTCGAAAAATTTCGACGACTAGAAAAAACTAGAGAATTGATTTTCCTTTCTTTTGTTTGTTTGTTTGGTTTTTTTTTTTCTTTTACTCTGCATATTACACTTAGTCGCTATTATTTGGTTTTTCTTTCATTGATCTTAAGCTTACTAAACACATTTTTTTTTTTTTTTAATTTCTCTTTAATTTTTATAGAATTTTTTCTTTTTATGTACCTGCTGTGGACTGCAGTGTCTCCGTATGTCTGTAAAGTGATTGGTGGTGAGTGTGTGCTTTTTTGTTTTTTTTGCTTTTTTTTTTTTTTTTTAATATAAATTTCTTTAAAACTCTTTAAACATTCTCTTTAGACAAAGCATTTTATAAAATTAATAGTAAATTATAATCATCAGCAAGTATGTATGTATGTGACTTGATACATATACATATGTATATATACACACACATATATATATATATATATATTTGTGTGTATATATATATATATATATATAGAGTTATTTTCTTTTCTTTATATATATATAGTATCAGAAGTTTATATATATTCTTCTGTATGTATATATGCATTTATATATTTGTGAGTGTATATATAGATAAATGAGCTTCATTTTTTTTTGTTTTTGTTTTTTTTTTTTTTTTAAAGATATATCTTCTTCAATGTATGTATATATATAAAAATTCTGTCACAGCATACAATAGAAACTAAGTTAAGAACAAACACAAAGTTTACAACTTAAAAAATGCAAAATTTCATATCTAAATATTTTTTTTGGTTTTTCTCTTTTTTTTTTTATACTTTCAATATAATTGCTTAAATAAACCGTTACATGCATTAGCTTGTAATAAAATTTTATATCTAAATTAAATTTGGAAAATAAAAGCTTGCTTGAAGATAAAGTTCGATATACTACTTTCAGCCTTTGTCCCATAATTAAGGCAACTGATTTAAAAAAAAAATAAAATAAATAAATAGATCAATAAATAAAAAAAAAAAAAAAAGAATGGATCTAGTTTTGAATCTGATATCTATCTGCTAATTGATGTGTATGCACCTACAGATATTCAACCAGTTGTCACACATTGTCTTCATAATAAATCGCGATATCAGGTTCAAATCTCGAAAACGAATCTGAATCTTAAATCTCCAGATGTACAATTGAAATCTTCTTAGCCCTTCCTTAGTCTCTGAAATTCATAGCAATGGAATCTGTCATTAAATACCAGGCTTAATGGAACCTAATAGAAAAACAACAAAATAGAATCGATGGGATTCAAAATTATTTATAGATTTTTTTTAAATCATCATTCCATAATAAAATTTAATTTATCTATTACCTCGAAAACATTATCCGCATTTGAAGAAAGTAAACTTACATTATTTTTAATCAGTTTACGGAATCGCAAAAATAAAAAAAATTTTTTACGTTCTCTTCAATCACAGACTTACGGTGCAAACAGATTTGATTATACCCGATTTGGGTCTTGCACGGGCTGACCCGACTTGAAGAAATTCTTCTTTTACTTCATAAAACATATTCTTCTTCTTGTTATTTAATGTTATCGATAGCAAATTCAGCGCTAGCTCTTAACATCGAATACGATGAAAATTGTTGAGTATATGGTTACGCTGAACCATTTAGAAATCTCAAAATTTTATCAATTTTTTCCGACCCGAACAATATGAATTATATTTTTGTAAAGATGTATGCTTCCAAAAAAAAATATTTCCCTTTTATGAATTCAAAGGCAGCCAGCCATAGCCTAGAGGAATGAATATTGTCAGTAAGAAAATGAAAAATGAACGCCTATGTTCTCTTTCTTTTTTCCTCTTCTTTTTTGTCATTTAACGACAGAAACGCATTAACGAGCCTTTTTTAGAGATTATTCCGGATCTTTGGATTAACTAATAGCGAGAAAGTTTTAATATAATTGGCTTCCGCCTATCTGGGTCGACATTTCTAAAAATTATATTTAATCATATATAGTCTAGAAAATGGAGATATTTCGCAGCCATATATTAGTTAATATTGCTCTGGAGACGGACGATTTCATTTTGACAGTGTTAAAAAGTGATTAAGGTATTTTCCAAGCAAGCTTGATTTTTCATATAATTTGTTTAAAATAAATGATATGATTAACGAGTAAGAGCTTAACTTAAAATACGTAATCTATATATAAATTATGGCTAATTGGGTAAAGATGCAATTTTTGTAGGATTTTTTGTTTTGTTTTTGACTTGGCTTTTATTAATTTACACACACACATATATATACACACATCTGCATATGCATATGTATATATGTAAATATGAAAACCATATATACATATATATATATATATATATATATATATATATATATATATATATATATATATA